TTAAAGGAAGCCAGGGAAACTAAGAGGCTGTTGATGAGGTCATGGTAGAGCACTTCAGGCACAGGAGAGAGCTAGCATGACACAGAAATGAGAGGAATGCTGTAAGCAAGGAATGTCAAGCCAGTATAGCTGGATTGTAGAATATATGGAAAGAAGTAACATGTAAGGAGGCTGGAAAAAAAAGAGAGGGATCAGGCTATAAAGAGCTTAAAATGCTAATGAGTGGTGTTTATTTTCAATCTTGTAGTTGTAAAAGGAAGCCACTGAAGCTCATTAGGTGAGGTGCGGGTGACAAAGATATCATGGTCCAGCCATGGTGGCTCAGTGGCTAAATGGAGGCTAAATTAGAGTGGGGAGAGATGAGGCAAAGAAGCTAGTTAGACATTTATTAGTGCCCACCTTTTTCATGGCAACCCTGGTGAGTATTTCTGGCTCTTTATTACTCTTAGCTTTAGAAAGCAGAAAGTCACACACGTGGCAATTGAGAGTGGGGACTTGTTTTCAGTCAGCAGAGTTTTCCTTCTGTTTTTGATTGTTTATTTTTTTTGCAATTCCTTGCCACCATGGTGTTTGTAGGAAAAAGAGAAAAGAGCAGAGTGATGAATGGAGATGGCAAGGAGAGGGAAGAGTCAAATGGGAGACAAAGGTGGGAAAAGGGGGGACAGAGAAATCAAGAGACAAACATAGAGGATGATACAGAGAATATGCAATGGAGTTTGGGATGGAAGTATTGGAATCAGAAACACATGCATAAGACTCTAAATTGACCCTTGAAAGGGTCAAGTTGCCATTGATTTGTGTTACAACAGCAACATGAACAGCTGGGTAGTCATCCCACTTTTCAGCAATAGCCTTATATAGCAGAACTTCTGTCAAAGCAGCTGGTAGTGGGCTTATAAGGGTCCCTGAGGAACAGTGACCAGAGCTAAGGTATAATTTGCCTATTAGCAGCTTTACAGAAAGTTGGGTCAAAACTTGAAGTTTTCTTCATGCAGAATAAGGCGGATCAGGATGATTTTATAAAAAAATTATAACAGTTCTTTGCTGATACATCAGAGATTACAGCAGCAACCAGTAGGTTGGACGTCACCCCTACACCCAGCAAATTCCACCAATGCCAAGCCTCAGAGTAGCATTTCCAGAAGCAAACAGGTGACTGTAGCCTCCATTTGTTAGAAATTGCTTAAATTCCTTTGCCTCTTTAGAAAAATTCTCAATTTCCCTCTTTTGTATTCTAACCCTGCACAAAGAGGAGACAGTCTTCTGCCTCAGAGTCACCCCTCTGAACCAAGCTGAAAGACCTTGAGAGATCAGGAAAAGATCCTTCTGTCCTGTGTTCACAACTCTCATTGAACCTAGGCATGGGACTGCCTGCCTATTCATAGGAAAACATTGGCTGACTGTGCCCAGAATGCATGAAATCTATCTGGGCTTGAAAAATGGGAGCAATGAAAAGTCCTTCAGACCTGAGCTAAGAAGAGGAGACATACTGACAGAAGGCAACAGAAGGCACAGAGAGAAATTAAAGGAGGGGGAAGAAAGCTATTTTTAAAGAAGAAAATTTTCACGAACAAGGGAGATTAAAGTATGTGAGTATGTGTCTGAGACAGACAGAGAGACAGAGATACATAGTGAGACAGACACAGAGACAGAGAGGTCTATATGTGTGGGGGGGATATGTTTGCATATGTGAAAAAAAAAGAATGGAGAAGGGGAAAGTTGAGAGGGCAGGGGAAGAAGAAGAAAAACACAGAAGATAAAGATTTTCTACTTGGAAAAAAAAAGGCCCTCCAGAGCAGCTGCTTGCTTTGCAAGACTGTTTCTAAAGAAGCAATACTAGTAAGCATATTCTTTCCCTTAAGGAGAATCTACTTGCCACCCAGCAGCCATTCTCCTTGGCTTTAGTTCTGGGAATTTTAATAAAAATTTGATAAGCTCTGTCAACCTCTAAAAACATCAGATCCAGAGCCCCTCATGACATTCTAGCTGGGAAAAAGGACTGTTATCAGGGGAGGCCAAATACTTACAAATTTTACATTTGATCTTATTTTCTAAAGATCCACATTGAAAATGCAAAGTCGTGTTATCTTTTATCGTCACATTCAATACAATTTGCAGAGATTCAGTCTCAGCTGTTGAAGCTTGAGATTGTGCCTCCCAGCAACCAGTTTCCAGTGTTCAGTTCTCCAGATTGTTCATCCAAAAAACCAATTTTCCAACAAAATAATCCATTTCTCCCTTCAAGTTTCAAACCATGACTTCATTTGGATATCCACAGACTGCCAGAGGACAGAGGGTCTTTATCCAAACTGGAATGTTTCCAGAGCTCTTCCTGGCTGATACATGAGATGCCATGGCAACATATTGGGCAGGGACTTCCTCAGAGCCACCAAGATCATCCCTTCTCTCAGGTCCAGATAATTTGGAATTAAAATCTTGAGGGAAGACCTCTGTCTTTCCATTCTTGTGACCTGTAGTGTATTTCACCAGAATAGTAAAATTTAAAACCAGAAACAATTGGGAAAGTTGCATGTTACTCTCTCAGGAAGCTGTCTATTCAAATATTTACCAGAGCCCCAAACTAATAGATTAAATTCAGTAAAATTCAAGGCCAGAACTGCAACTGCCAAAATGAACAATGGCCTTAGCTACTTTTATTGGTTCTATGATGTCAAATAACCTAGTGTAGCCACCACTAGGAAGCTCTCCTATGTCAAATGACTAATGTTAAGCATATGCATGTGTGTATGTGGTATAACTTTTGTGTTGCTAATCTGAATCTGGGATTTCATTGACAAGGAGAATCCCTATTGTCAAAGTTCCTACCACTTGTGAGGATTAGCAACTCTCTGTGATTATCAATTACAAACCAACACTCTTAGAAATTCTGTAACCTATAGTCTATGGCAGTAAAAGGTTAAGTAACTCGCTCGTGGTCACACAAGTTGATATGTGTTACAGGAAAGACTTGAACCCAGCACTCTGAATTTATGTGTGTGTGTGTGTGTATCTGTATATACGTATATGGGGGGGTGTATGTATGTACACACACACACATACTTATATACATAATCTATATCTATACATTAGGTACATGGACTCATGTGGATCTGGTAAACCATGAATTCTTTGAGAGCAAACACTGTAGCACAGTGCCTGGATTATAATAGGTGTCTAATAAATGCTTATTGACTGACTGGTGTAATCCCTGCTTGTCTAAGGAACAGTGGGTTCTAATGACATGTGTGTGTGTGTGTGTGTGTGTGTGTGTGTGTACATGTAGGTACATCATTAGTGTGGACTCTTCATCCAACTTCAAAGATCACAAATTTCTCTAACTTAAACTCTTAGAGAGTTGCCTGAGGTTCAGAGAGGTTATGTGATTTATCTATATACGGAAGGAAGGAATAAGCATTTATTAAGCACCTACTGTGTGCCAGGCACTATGATATTATCTCATTTGATTTCTACAACCTTGGAAGGTAGGTGCTAATTATAATCTCTATTTCACTTGAGGAAACTGAAGTAGATGGAAGTACTTATAGGTACTTACAGGATATATATGTTGTATGTACAAATTTATGTATATTGTACATATGTGATGTGACTGTTTACATATACATTTGGGGTCGTAATACCCATCTCTGGGCCATCTTCAGCAGAAGTCATGCTTTGTGTCATCTTCTAAAAATGTGAATTGTGATGATTCCATGGGTCACAAAATTTCTAATTTTAGTTTTATTGGTAAGTAGCTCATATCCCCTTGCAGAATGAATAGAAAGTTCAATGGTCTTCATTGGTATTTAAATGTTGTTTTTCTATGTAGGGAAAACAAAAGTTAAACCTTTAATAGCGTTTCTTAACCTCCAACAAATGCCAGATGGTGTTACAGAGTTGTCTATCCATTGGCTTCAGAGTATCTGAGACCCTCCAGACTACTCAGGGGGTGGTGGTGAGGGAGAGGCAGAGAAACTTCTAACCACAACTGACTCCTGTAATTTGTCTTGGTCCAAAGGCCCTTCAGGTAATTTCTATAAGCCTGAGTAGCTCCACTTTCAGTGAACTTGAGATGGCATATGGTGGAGACCCACCTAATAAAAACATCCAGCTGGTATCACATCAGGACATTTTGGTGATCCTAAGGTGGGGAAAAGGGAAAGGGAACATGCATTTATTAATCACCCACTAAGTGCCAGGCACTGTGCTAAGTACTTTACAGGTATCTCATTTGATCCTCACAACAATCCTCAGATCATCCCACGGGTTTATATAATTTCCCTGCAGGCTGATCCAAGGCACCCACTTAGTTTGTTCTACTCTCTAGGACACTGCTGTTTCTAAAATTCATTTTGTTTTATTTGGGGGGGGGGCAATAGGCAATGGGGTTAAGTGCCTTGCCCAGGGTCACAAAACTAGTGAGTGTTATGTGTCTGAGGCCACATTTGAACTCAGGTCCCCCTGACTCCAGAGCCAGTGCTCTATCCACTGTGCCACCTAGCTGCCCCCTAAAATTCATTTTAAATGAACCTATAGAATGGGGTTGTGAATTGTTTCAGAAGTCATCTAGTTTGCACATCTAGTCAAAGGGTTCCACATAACTGTTTCATTATATCATTCTAATAAAAGTAGATCAGTGTCTGATGACATGTTATCTTTAAATATCTAAAAAATTACATTTTGAAGAAAATAGAGGGAGTAAATATTTGAAATCCCATGACTATTCTAATAATTGTGTTAAACTGCTTCTTTTGCTTACAGCAGCATGTATAACATTGAAAACCTATTGGGAGAGCTCAAATACAGCTCCTGTTCTTGATGGTTGAAATTAGTTTTAGAGTTTGTATATTTCTGTGGCCACTCAAAAATAAGTCATTTGATCTCCAGAATTATATTAAATAAAATTTAAATCATATTAATATACATGTATTTTATTAAATATAAGTATCAAAAGTCAACAGTTTAAAAAATTAAGAAACTTCTTTTTTATTGTTTCAATTTAGGGAAACCTCAGTGAGAATGGAGCAAGTGTCCCTAGAGGAGAAAAGGTAAATGGAATTTGAATTTTTTTTTTAATTATTGAGTTTTTTTTTCAAGTTACACTTTTATGTCTCAGGGAAATGGCTGCATTTTTAACAGTTAAGTCTAAGCACATGGGGTGGTCATCCAGTTTGCTATGTGAAACACCTGCCTGCTGGCTATGTGGCAATGTGGGGATTAGCCAGGAGGGCACTTTTCAGGAAAGATTGTTGAATAGCATTTGGAGATGGTGCAAAGAATGAATCAAGGGGAAATAGTTATAACATGGTGAATGTTTTTAACCTACAAGTTCTGGTTTATAATTGGATATTCCTTCAGTTTGTATAAGTGAAAAAATTCCAAACATTTTGTGGCAGTGGATGATCCCTTTCTATTTAAAAAAAAAATGAATCATTTAAGCATTCAAACATAAACCTTTGAGCTTTATTTTAATGTTTTATGATAGAAAAGGATAGCTTACACATAATAATGCCTGGTTTCTCTCAAAAGTGAATTATCTCACTACTGAACTTCTGCTGAATTTCTGTTATGTTCTCACTTTCTAATTTCTATCTTATTTATGAATGACTGTGTGAACCCTAAAGTGGGCAGGTCCATTTTTAAGGTCACCAGAACTTCCCCCATTTCTACCCTCTCTTTCTTCCACCATTGCTTCAGAAACTGGTAAATTTCAATTCAATAGTGACTATAATTGCATTTCCTAACCTAGTTACAGCAATACATATTAAACCTCTAACTAGAGATAAGGTGGTTAAAAAATCCTGTAGAGTATAGAGTAATAAAGTCTCTGTCCGTGGTGCTTTCATTCACCTACTAAGAATTCTCATGATTAAGGGCAGAGCATTTTGACATGAATCTTGAAATTATAACTTACATGTCATATGCCAGCCCACTAAAAAAAATTGTGCTCCAATGCAGAAAATAGTGCCAAAGTGCCAATTCAGTGGAAATGGAGAACAGCAGGGAGTCTAATTTTATGTCCTTTATGCTTTGTGTAGATTGACCACTGAAAATGAAGCCTTCTGCAAGGGGGAAAAAAACTTTTGACATTCTTGAAAATAAATCAGAAAATTTAACTTGTCAATATTTTTCATAATGGGATATCTTAAAGAACCATAACCCATTCTAGAAAATGAGTCAGAGTTTTCAATTAGTTGTTGTAAAGTTAGCAGCAGTTACAATTTATTTTTTAAAAAGTCATTCCTGGGGCAGCTAGGTGGCGCAGTGGATAGAGCACCGGCCCTGAAGTCAGGAGGACCTGAGTTCAAATCTGACCTCCAACCCAACACTTGAAACTTACTAGCTGTGTGACCTTGGGCAAGTCACTTAACCCCAATTGCCTAAAAGCCAAAAAAAAAAGTCATTCCCAACTTGTCCCACGAGACAAATGAGCCCCCCAAAAAAGCTGTGGCCCTTTAAAAAGGATCTAAATGATGATTTATTTCTCAAAGAAAAAAAAAACAGCTGGCTTGTGTTTTGCCAGAACATACTTTATTCATTAGGAAACCCAAGTTACTTTAGGAACACTTAAAACCTCACAGTGATGAGAACTGATTCTGTGGAACAGGTGTATCAAGCCCTGAAGAACTTAACTGTTGCTCAAATCTCCTCTCTCAGAATCTTAAATGAAGTAGAATTAGAGAGAGCCAGTTCCATTATGAAAATAAGAAGAAGAAGAAACAGCCTAGAGGACACAGCAGAGATCTTGAGACAATGTGTGATACACATGAACCAATAAGATTAGAATGCATAACTAACTGAAGGGTAGAAAAACTGTACAAATAAGTAAGGCATTGGAATTGGATAAATTGACTAAGAAACATGAATGTTAGATACCTAAATATAACAATCAACATGTAAATAAAATCAGCACATAAACATAACCTTTCAATATTGGGGTTTTTTTTTTGTTTTTGGGTGAGGCAATTGGGGTTGACTTGCCCAGAGTCACACAGCTAGTGAGTGTTATGTGCCTAAGGCCAGATTTGAACTCAGGTCCTCCTGACTCCAGGGCCAGTGCTCTATCCACTGTGCCACCTAGCTGCCCCTCAATATTGGTTTTGAAAAAAACATTAATGCTTCCTTATGTTTCCATTGCTCCTAGATTCCTCAATATGCTTGTTTTTTCAACAGTACAAACTGAAATGTGTCCATGCCTTCTCATCCTGTGCAATCTAAGTCTATCTCCATAGACATATATATATATGTATACATATTATATATATATATATATATATATATATAATTTATGTCTATATAAATCTTCTGCAGAGTCTATCCAATGCATAGGAGACCTTATAGAGTTTGCAAAACATTCTCTAGATAGCAATGCAAAGCTTGAGCTGGGTGGTCTATCTTTTATGTCTTGCTCTCAATTTATAACATCCTACTTACTTTTCAGTTATATAATTCAATCATTGGTAATACACTACATTACATTACATCTACCATGTTTTTCCCTCCATTGCCCTTTGGATCACCCATAATTTTGATTTTGGGGTGACTGTAATTTCCTGATTTGCAGTCAGATCTCATTATGAAAATACTGGTTTAAAAAGTGACCTGGAAATATTGAAAGTGCTATGAAATTTATTCAGTGCAGCTTAGCCTTCATCCTGTTTGATTCTGGGTCCAGATTATTTGTCCACTTGAAGTGCCTGTCTAAATTACATGTATTAATTCAACTGACTGACCATTCACTACAGAATATGTTTGATAGGCATTCATCATCCATTTGTTTTTTTTTCCTCATGGGGATTATCAGATCTATCGTCTGATATCTTTTGAGAGATCAAGGATCTCACTGAGGACTCCCTCTAGTATTCTTAGGCCTGATATAGTAAGCCAGAGGTTATTGTTCAGTTATTTCAGTTGTTTTCAACTCTTTGTGACCCCCATTTGGAGTTTTCTTGGCGAAGATACTGGAGTAGTTTACCATTTCCTTCTCCAGCTCATTGTACAGATGAGGAAACTGAGGAAAACAGGGTTAAGTGACTTGCCCAGTGTCTGAGGCCAGATTTGAACTCAGGAAGTTGAGTCTTCTTGACTCCAGGCCCAGCACTCTATCTACTGCACCACCTACCTGCCCTATGTTTTTCACAATGCCATTACAAATAGAAGCATATGGAGGATCAGTTGGGAATTCCTCTTCCATTTGGACTCTCCACAGTATTTTAAATAATATCCTAGGAAGAATACTGGCAAAGGTATTTATAAACTTTTTAGCAGTTATAAATGTGAGTTATTACTATTAAGACTAAAGTGCCACAGGACATGTCATTCCATGAGGAATGGTAAGCTCTCAAGAATGAGACTCTGAACATTCAAAAAGAATTCCCCTGAAGTGGAAAAGAGATATCTGTCTCAAGAGACAGATGTGGCTGCCTGGGGGACTCACTTAGATTCTAAGTAGACATATACAGATGATGGAAGCAGTGGCCGACAACAGAGGATAAATATAAACAATAATAACTAACATATAAATAGCACTTACTAAGTACCAGGCCATGAGACAGCCCTATGAGAATAGTGTCAGGAATGCCAACGCTCAGAATGAGCCAAATCAGGTCAGCAAACGTAAGGACAACAAAAAGTGTTGGGTTGTTTTTTTTTTTTGGTGGGGGGTGCCTTTTGACTTAATTTGTTTGTTTTGGTGAAAAGGGAATGAAAGTAGGGATGAGGCCACTGCCCAGTGTGGATGAGATAATGATTATCAACAGAGGGAAGGCAGAGCTGTTCAATTTGGGGGGAGTTTGTTTCTGTTTTCTCTGCCAAGAAAAATGATCTTTGGACTGCGATGGACAGAACCAAAATGGCTATTAGGCTACCCAACAGAAGTAGGAGGGAAAGAGAAAGAAATTATCTAGTCTCCCTTGATGAGTTTAAGTCACTTGTCCTAGATCATCTACGTTCTACAAACTATCCAAAGGTGAGAAACGCACGGCCTCAAGGCCACACGTGGCCTTCCAGGTCCTCACCTGCAGCCCTTTGACTGGAACCAAAGGATTTGTTTTGTGAAGTTTGGATTCAGTCAAAGGGCCACACACTTGAGGACCCAGAGGCCCACATGAGGCCTCAAGGCCGCACACCCCAGTTTATGCTAATAAGTCTGATATTGATTCCTGGAAAAGTTCTAAAACTAATTATTAGAAGCGTGGTACTTCCCCATAAATCTGGAGTAACCATTGAGGAGCTCATCTATTTTGACAATTATCATCATTAACATCCTTTGCATTTGTTTAGAATGTTTTTAATTTTCAAAAATATTCTACTTAATGTGCTAAACAATATTATGAGATATATATTAAATTTTCTGAATTAAAAAGAACTAGATTTAGAGTCAGAGTACCTGGCTTTGAACCTAGCTCATCTACTAACTCACAGCTTCTACTCACTACTTACTAATCTTGGTCGTCACCTCACTTCTCAGGACCTCAGTTTTCTCATTTATTAAACAAGATTGGACTAAATTATTTTTAAGGTCCCTTCCAGTTATAAAATTTTAAGCTTTAGTATGTATGGAGAAAATGACTTTATAAGGTTATACTACTGAGTAGTAGGGGCTGCCAGATGGCTGTGCTAGGCCTGGAGTCAGGAAGACCTGAGTTCAAATTTGACCCTGGGCAAGTCACTTAACCTCTTTTTGCCTTTATCTAGTGGAGAAGAAATAGCAAGCCACTCCAGCATCATTTGGCAAGAACCCCATGGATAGTATTGGCATGATACGGGTTTATGGGTTTATGAAGTCAGACATTATTGAATGACTGAACAACAACAACTGAGTAGAAGTCTTATCTCTTGACTCATAGACCATTGATATCTCCATTAAGCCATACTGAATGGTTTCTAAAGTTTATGTGCAGGAAAATGTATGGTAGCAGCTGGTGGCAAGTTGAACTAGAAATCATCACCTAAGCCAGAAAGCCTATTGTGCATAATAGTACAACTCTCTATCCCCTCCCTTCGTATGAATAAAGCTTCACAAATAGCTCACTGCCCTTTGGAGGCCCAATTTTCCATTTCCAAGAAGCTCACTCCACTCTTCTTTTGTGAGAATGAGTTTTTCTTTTAACCCTAATGTATACAAAACATGGCAGTCTCTAGCAAGCAGGGAAAGTGGAAATGCCCACCCTTTGGTTCTTTTACAGCCTGCTCTTTTTACCAATTAGTGATTTTTTTTAGGGTAGAGTCTTCAGTTTTGGACTTTTTGCTAGTCTTGTATAGTCTAATTCTGGAATCCCAGCTTTACCCAAAGATTCTAAGTGAGCTCTAAGCCCTGAGGTTCAATATGAACCATTGATTTCATCTCTAAAAGAAGGAACATTCTTATCTTCTCTCTTTTTATGAAACAAAGTAAGTATTTAGAACAAAAGTTAAGGTCTCTCGATGCCAGAGGGAAGCAGTGAGTGTGGAGTGAGTAAAAGACTCACTATAGAGTCTACTCTTTCTAGAGAAAGGAAAAGGATAGAGGAGAAGAAAGGTAATCAGTCTCTATCCCCTTCCAAGCGGGATCAGTGATGCAGGATTCATTCTGGACATAGTTTACATATAAAACATCCTCTGACTGAGAATTTATAGCCATTAGTTGCAATCTCCAGCATCAGCTTTTCCATAGCCCTACGTATATGTCTCTCACTAGCAAGATGTCTGCTTTTTCCTCCTCCTCTGTGCTTACTCAACTTCCTATCTCCTACCAAACAAACTTCTCTAAAAGTAGGAGGAAAAGGACTGAATCAGTGGCACTCTGGGGAATGCCTCTAAGTCAATATTTGAAACCCCATGGGAACTTAGCAGCTACTGAGAAAGACTGTCCACCAGCAAGCAGCCTCTCTCTCCATGCTCCATGTATAAGCCTTTTTGAGAAGCACTCCAAAAGAAAAATTAAAATCACTTTGAAATTTGGCAAAGGATATGAAGCCAATGGGTGATCAAACTCCTAGCCAAACTGAAGCAATGGTAGATAGAATTGGTTTCATGTATGGCTTCAAAACAGATTTTCTATGGTAAGTAAATCCTGTACGTTGAACAGTTTCAACACCATCATCCACAGATACTCCAAGAGAAGGCAAGACAGGAACTGCAGAGTTTTTCAGGGCTGGAAAATAACCTAGTCCTTCATTTTACAGCTGAGGGAACTGATGCTCCTTTTTTTAGGCTTAGAAAAGGTGAAAATATGAGAAAGGTAAATGTGCACAAAAACAGTATAATGGCTATTATTTTGCAAGGAGATCTTGAAATTTAAGGAATCGGCCCTAAAGAGCTTCAAAAAGCCTTGATTCATTGACCAGTCATCCATGGATTTTGATGAATGCCAACAGAAAGCAAGAGGGGTAGGGTGTGTCTGCAATCTAATTTATGTTCTATTTCCTTTTATAAGTAGAATCTCTAAGATTGTACTTTCTTAGACATGATCTTATAAAGCTTTGTTCCTTATAAATCAGTCTTTAGAAGATTCTTTGATGAGAGCATCTTGGGCTTCTCTGAAGTTACTGCCATCACATCAGCAAGAATGCTTTCTTTGTCTCTGCTCAGCAGTAATGTCAATGCTAAGAATAACTTAACCTCATTTTCATTCATATGACCACATGCTTCCAGAAAGAAAAAAATATGATGAAATGTCTGAAACTGAATTCTGGATAATTGTGTTTCAGTTAATCAACATGACATATTTTGGATCACTAAACTAATGTGCCTTATCAGCTACTATAAGATAAAATACTTTCCATTACTTTTTTCCTCCTCACCCCTAAATAGATTTTTCCATTTAAATGTTTTTATTGCATTTTTTATTGCATATTTTACGTAATAGGAAGGAAATTGATGGATTTTAAAAGACCTACAGGCAGTAAGAACCACTGACAAACACTTCATTGCCCAAAGCATTCAATTTGATATAGAGCTTCTCATTCTCCCCTTCCTGTGTGGTAACAGCTAAATTCTGTTGTTAAAGGGAAAAGAGAAATTCAGTGGGGGGGGAAGCCTTGAAAAGAGGATCAAAAAAATGAACACATAATCAAGTCCATCCTGTTAACTACCTCATTAAATGTATCATACATCTTTTAAACAAATCATACAATATAGAAGTTCTTGCTTTCAAGTACAATCCTCATTTTTGTTCCTTGTATATTGAAATGTTTGTGTTTGTTTATTTTTATTAAGTCCATAATTAAAAAGAAAAATGTGTAAATAAAGAGAAAAAACCACTGCATTTTGAAGACATACGAAGTCATCACAATTCTTGATTTGATTTTTTAATGACATCTTTCTTTGTATTTCTTTGAAAGGGTGAAACTGGACAGCCTGGATTTCCAGGACCAGTTGGTCCTAAAGGACAAAAGGGAGAAATGGTAAGTATTTAAGACATGAGTGCAAGAAGGAATCGTCTAAATAGTGTTATCACTTTGCTGAATCTGTGTCAATTCTACATTCTTTCACTGTGTACCTTTTAAAGAAATATTATTTGGCCAAAATAAACCAGAAAATAAGCACATAAGTCACTCAATCAGTTAGGATTTAATAGGCAACTATTACGATCAAGGCATTATGCCAGATAATGAAGATAAAAATAGCATAGTGAGTATAGTATATAGTATAGTGAGACATTACCAGTCCTTAGATTTTACTGTGGGACTTAGATTTTACATATGACACGTTTGTGGATAAGTAAATACTAGATAAAAATGCAAAAAAAAATGAATATAGTGATTAGGAGAGGGTCATTATAAATGAAGGAGGTAGCACTGGACTTAAGCCTTGAAAGGAATTAGTAGTTCCAATGGACAAAGACAAGGAGGAATATTATTCCAGGCATGAGGCCCAACCAGTGCGAAGACTGTAAGAGATGAGATGTTGTATGCAGAGAACCACAGCAAGTAGGCCAATGTGGCCGAAGCATAGAGTGTGTAAGAGGAAGTAATATGTAATCAGCTTGAAAAGATTCTGGAGCCAGATTGTGAAGGGCTTTAACTCAAACTGAGGAGTTTTTATTTTATCTAGTCTAAAAGCAATGGGAAGCCACTGAAGCTTCACATTTTCAAGAAAAATATCCAGACTATGGTTCTAACTTCTCTAAAAAAATTCCAAAACCTTCACACCTATTTAGTCAACTATTCATCGGCCTACACTAGTGAGTTGTTCATTCTGAATCTAGGGTCAAAGCAACAAGCATTTATTAAAGTCCTACAATGTGCCAGGCCCTGTGCTAAATGCTAGAGAATCAAGGTGTTATCTTAAGTCTGATTTGAACCTATCCAAACATCTTCCTGGCCAACCTCATTTAGAATTTAATTCTGTCTAGTTGAACACAAACAAACAACAGTATAGTTCATATTCAAATGCAGCTGCACAAAGAGATTGCATAAGTCATAGTTTTAGGAAGTGACATGATTTTTAGTTTTATCTTAAGCAAGAAAGAAAATGGGTCTCAAAAATGTTTTAAAAGTTGTCGTCATTGACAAAATTAAATAAGCAATGTCAATCATTTTTTTCTTCATAGGGCGAGCAAGGAAAAGTTGGCTTACAAGGAATAAAAGGTGACAAGGTATGTATGTGCGATAACTAAGAATAATAATGAAAGTATTTGCATGATTTTTCCTGTACTGCAGCTTAGTAAGTTAGGCACCTTCAGAAGCTGCATTAACTCATGTAAGCCATTTAAATAGAACTTCAGAATACTCCTACAACCGGATTCATAGGACATCAGAGCCGGAAAGGAGCTTAGAGGCAAAGCTCCGCAAATCCCAAGGGCCTGGGCATCAAGGTGCCATGCCACCTAGTGATATCTCATAATGCCTGATATTTGTAATGCACTCTTCCCAGAAGCTACTGAGAAACTACAGGAATGTTCTTTGTTTTTACATCATTAATGTTTTACTATAATGATAACTTAAAAACATGTGTGGTACTCACTTGGGGATTCCTGAGGCTTCCATTATATCTGACCCACCTGTAGGCTTGGTCTCCCTTCACAATGAAAATTTCAGAGAAGAGGAACAATAGACTACTTCAATGTCAGTTTGCCCCAATAAAATGTGCTCAGTTTCCTTTTGGGCCTTCCAGGGGATCCTTCAAAACTTGCTGTATAGGGGCAGCTAGGTGATGCATTTGGTAGAGCTCTGGCCTTGGAGTCAAGAGGACCCAAGTTCAAATCCAGCCTCAAACACTTGACACTTATTAGCTGTGTGACCCAGGGCAAGTCACTTAACCCCAATTGCCTAGCCAAAAAAAAAAAAAAAGGTTTCCATATGAAGCTTAAAAAAAAAAAAAGACCTTCTGTATACCTTATAATTTAGTCCCAAGGTGATGCTAATTTGATTTGGACCTGAAGTTGAGAAGCCAGGCTGCAAATAATACTGCCCTTAAAAAATCCTTGCAAAGAAAAAAAAACCATTTGTTTGGCTTCTAAATTTGACAGCTGGCTCCTAGATCCAAACTGAATTTGTCAAGCATTGATTTAAAGACCATTTAGTACAACCCCTTCATTTTAAAGGACTGGAAACCTGGACCCACAGATGTTAAGCGATTTGTCTAAGCTCACCATCTAGTTATTGGAAGAATCAGGACTAAAATGCAGGTCACGTCATTCCTGGACCAGTAGGAATCTAGATCCTAGGCCGTAACCCTCTGCATAATATGGCTTCACTTACTGTTTCATTGTTTCCTTCTGTACTAATTGATTGGTCTGATTTAATGTGCTGCCATTAGCCTTTAATCCAGATGATTGAATCCTTTTATGGAGATGGCAAAATCTTTCTATTATTTCAGCTGTTTCAGAAATAACAGCATCTCATCTCAGTAATGGGCTAAGCACAGAAGCAGGCAAAAGAAAGGCAATATGTCTGTGACACACAATGTTAATCAGTTTCTCCAGTTTGAAGAAATCGGGTACATTCAGCCTGAAGATAAGAAGATTTGGTGGGGTACATGATCATTTTCTCCAAATATTTAAAGAACTGTCATGAAGAAAATTGAATGAATTTGTTCTGTGAGACTCCAGAAGGAAGAAATAGAACCAATGGGAAGAAGTTAAAGGATATAGATTTCAGCTCAATATAAACACTTTCTATCAATTGGAGGCATCTGGTGGCTCAGTAGATAGAGAACTGAGCCTGGAGTCAGGAGACCTTAGTTCAAATTCAGCCTCAGACACTTCCTAACTGTGTGACCCTGCAAAAGTCACTTAACCTGTGATTGCCTGACAAGATGGATTCAATAGATTAACTGGAGAAAGAAATGGCAAACCACTCCAGCATCTTTGCCAAGAAAACCACATGGATAGGAGGTTCTTAGGGTCACAAAGGGTTGGCTACAGCTGACTGACTGAACAACAGCAAAATCAATTGGTGCTATCTAAAAATGGAATGAACTGCTCATGTAAGATAGTGAGTTCTATGTCCCTGGAAATGTTCAGTCAACAACTCAGTAACATGCATTTAAGTGCCCACTACACAGGCAGCTAGGTGGCTCCGTGAAAAGAGCATTGGACCTATAGTCAGGAAGATCTGTGTTCAAATCCAGCCTTACACACTTATAACTCTGTGACCCTGGGCAAATTACTTAACCTCTGTCTGATTCAATTTTCTCAATTGTAAAATGGGGATAATAATAGCACCTCTATCTCACAGAGTTGTTATGGGGATCAAATGAGATAATATTTGGAAAGCACTTACTACATACAGTGCCTAGTACATAGTAGGCAGTTTAATAAATGCTTGTTTTCCTTTCCCTCTCCCTTCTGTTTGCCAGACACTGTGCTAAGGACTGGTGATACAAAAAAGCCAAAAAACAAAAACAAAACAAACAGAAAACATTCCCTGCATTGAAAAAGCTCACACTAAGAGGGAAGACAACATTCAAGCAATCATGTACAAACAAGTTATAGACAGGATAAGTTGGAGAGACTCTCAGAGGGAGAGCACAAAGGTTAAGGAGACCTAAGAAATGCTTCCTGTATAAGGTTGGACCTTGAATGAAGCCAGGAAAGCCAAGAGACGGAGTTGAGGTGGGAAAGAGGTTCAGGTATGGGGACTGCCAGTGAAATTTTCAAGGGTCAAGATTGTGCTACACATGAGGATCAGCAAGGAAGCCAGTATTTCTGGATCACAAATTGTGTTTGTGGAGGCGAGGAGGTTAGTTGCAGGGTAAAGAAGTAAGGGTAAGAAAACTGGAAAAGGTAGGAAGGGGACAAATTTTAAAGAACTTTAAAATCCAAATATAGGATTTTGTATTTGATCCTGGAGGTAATAGGGAGCCACTGGAGTTTAATGAACAGGGAAGGGGGTAACACAGTCTGACCTGCACTCTAGGAAGATTAGTTTGATAGACAAATGGAGGATGGGCTGGAGTGGTAGAAGGCTTATGGAAAAGAGATCAACCCGAAGGCTATTACAATAGTCCAGAGACAAATTAATGAAGGCCTGGACCAGCATGGTGGCAGTGTCAAAGTAGATAATGGAGCATATAGGAGAGATGTTAAAAAGGTAGAATTGACAGGACTCAATAACAGGTTGGATGTAGGCAGGGTGAGAGAGAGTGAAGAAGCAAGGATGATACCTCATTGTCTGGGGAACTGGTGAAACCCTCAGCAGTAATACAGAAGTTCAGAAGAGGAGAGGGTTTGAGGTGAAAATGAATTAGGCCAATTTTGGTCATGTTAAATTTAAGAGGTCTATGAAACATCCAGTTATGGATGTCCAGTCAACAATTGAAGATGAGAAATGGAAGTCAGGAGAGGCATTAGGTCTAGACAAATAGATCTAAGAATCATCTGAATAGAAATGATAATTAAATTCATGAGAGCTAATGAGATCACCAAGTGAAATAGTATAGAGGGAGGAGAGAAGAGGGCCCAGAATGGAGCCTTTGGGAACACCCACAGTTAGTGAGCATGAATGAGATGAAAATCCAACAAAGGAAATTGAGAAGGAGCAGTCAAACAGGTAGGAGGTAAGCTCAGAGAGGATAGTGTCACAAAATCTCTTAAGAAGAAAATAGCTGAGGGCAGCTAGGTGGTGCAGTGGATGAAGCACCAGCCCTAGAGTCAGGAGGACCTGAGTTCAAATTTGATGTCAGACACTTACTAGCTATATGACCCCAGGCAAGTCACTCAACCCTAATTGCCTTTACAGAAAGAAAGAAAGAAAGAAAGAAAGAAAGAAAGAAAGAAAGAAAGAAAGAAAGAAGGAAGGAAGAAGGAAGGAGGAAGGAAGGAAGGAAGGAAGGAAGGAAGGAAGGAAGGAAGGAAGGAAGGAAGGAAGGAAGGAAGAAAGAAAGAAAGAAAGAAAATAGCCTCCTATAGAAAAACAGAGCACAAATATAGTATGATCTTACATAGATGCATATATATGTGTGTGTGTGTATATATATATATATATATATAAATACACACACACACACACATATGCCTAATTGTAGCCTTCTGGGGGCAGGGGGACAAAGGAGGGGAAATAACAAAGTAAAAAGTACACAGGAGAGAACAAAATAAAACCTATGAGGAAGTAAAGAAAAGATGGACAGCTCTGAACACAATATGTAGTATTTATTATATGGGTTTTCTTGAAACAAAAATTTATTGCTTTGTATTTTGAATCCTCTCTTATGTTCTGCAGTGCACATGGCAATTTTTTTTTCTTATTTTTTATTTTAGTTTCAAATAAAAAATTTTACAAAAAAGTTAAAGCAGGAAAAAAAGTAGGAAGGAGAATGGAGTGATCAACCTTTTCATAGGCTGCAGAGGGATTAAGAAAAAAAATCAGTAGATTTGGCAATTAAAAAATCATTGGTAACTTTGAAGATAACTGTTTCAGTTGCATGATGAGGTTAGAATCTAGACAGTAGAAGTAGAGACATTGATTGTAGACTGCCTTCTCAAGAAGTTTAGCCACAAAAAAAGATAGAGAAAAATGGGATGATGGCTAGCTCGGATGGATGGATCAAGTTAAGGGGTTTTTGAGGATGGGGGAGAAATGGGCATATTTGTAGGCAGTAGGAAGTAGCCAATAGAAATGGAGAGGATTAAAGATAAGTGAGAACATGAGGATGATAAAGAGAGCAATCTACTGGGGGAGATGGGGATAGAATGGAATCACTTTCATGTATACAGGGATTTGTCTTGACAAGCAGGGCACTTCATGTGAAACACAGGTGAAGAAGATAATAGTTGAAGGGCATTTGAGTGATGGGAGATAAGGAGAGAAGAGGAAGCTCTAGAACGTTATCGAGTTTTTCAGCAAAATATGAGACAAAGATCTCATCTGAAAGAGTTGGGGAGGAGGAGCCTTGAAAAGCTTGAGAAGCCATCGAAAGTTTGGAAGAACCACTGTGATGAGTGGGATAGTAAGTTAACTAGGAAGGTGTAAAATGATTGCCTTTCTGCAGTCAGGCTCTAGTTGAAATAATATAACAGACATTTATAGTGGATCCAGCTTTTTCCATCAGCATGTAAGTAGGAGCAAAAGTGGCAGATGATAAGAATCATCCAAGACAGAGGCTTAGCAAGGGAGATCTTCTGTAGGTAAAGGAGCAAGGGACTTGAGAGAAGAG